AATCTCAGAAGAATTTTATCAAAACCCATGTGTCAGATATGTAAGTATATAAGCATTGGATGGCATGAAAGTAAATATCCCAAAACAGCAGTATATTCAGCTCAAATTACCACTAGAAAAAAGTTCATTTAGATGTTTCAATCAACATTCGGATTCAAACCCAAATATGCTAAATTGGACTCTGCAAAACAACGAAGATGAGTGACAAAAACAGTAAACAAGCAAGGCCAAAAACCCCTACACAAAACTCTCCCAAGTATCAAACTAAAACATCAAGTAACTAGGCCAAAACAGTCCTAAACTCCTCAATTCCAGATTTTTTTATTTTTGCATTTATATGACTCCGCATAATTAAGGAATGAAACAAGCAGTGATATTTGTCCTTAAAGACTCAATGCTAATGACCCATCTTAAAGAATAGCACTTAAATCTTCTTGCAAATTGGCGTTCACACAGGTCTTAATGGATAATAACATAGCTCAAATAAAGTAACGATTGAGCCCCTCGAAATCACGAGGTAACAATAAAAGTGCAGTATTCATGATAAAAAAAAGAACCCCAGCAAACACCTTCACGCATGTCGTTCAATTCCTCATGCATTTACATATATAGCACCTGATTTCTTGGATTTTTACAAAAGAACTTGGTAAAGCTTTTCAAACATTGCAACCTTCAAAAAATATACAATGTGCATAAATTTTCACGCAATCCGAACCTTATGTGACCAATCGAAATATATACGAATAGAAATAAAAATTTGGTGAAGCTTTTCAAACATTGCAGCCTTCATAATATATAGAATGCACATAAATTTTCATGCAATCCAAACCTTATATGACCAATTGAAATATACAGGAATAGAAATCCATATATCATGAAATTCGCATAGGAATAGAGCATGCATAAGATATTACCGGCTCAGCTGTCCTAAAAGAGAGAGCAGGGGAACAAACTGCAGAGCTCCACGAATGAACAAAAACCAAGCAATGGGAATTTCGGCAGCACCTCCCCTCTCCCAAATTTTCAGCCAACCCTAAGGAACTCCCCAAATGGGGTTTTTATAGAAAAAGAGGGTGGAGGAAGAATATCATCCCTCACCTGGGCGGTGAGCCGAGCCAAGAGAAGCGACTAGGACGACAGAGGCGAAACTTTTAGGCAGAGGAGCAGCTCGCGTGGCACGGCGTGGAAGCTTTGGCCAGAG